ACTCTTTATCCCCTTTGTTTCTTTTCTTTGCATTCTTTCTAAGGCCCAAGTATCTTTTTCGTGTCATGATGACCAGAACTGGATGCAGTATTCCAAGTGTGGCCTCTTTAGAGCAGTATAGAGTGGTACTATCACTTCCCATGATCTTGATGCTGCCCCTCTGTTGATGCAGCCTAGGACTGCATTGGCTTTTTTGGTAGCTGCAGCACACTGCTGACTCATATTCACGCCGACTAAGATTGGACTTAAGCATAGTACATAAAATCATATGTTTGTCAGGATTCCAAGTGATGACATCCACTTAAAAAAAAAAACAAAGTCCATCTTCAAAAAAATATTTCTTTTATTTAGGAAAGCATCAAATTGGCAAAGTGCATGGTAATTCTGGATCTGACCCAACCCAGAATTACCCCACAATATTACAAGTTAGAAACAGCCCCCAAAAGTCACATTCTCCAATAGAAGTAATTCAACGTTGCTTGATGTCATAAATCTCCACCTCCAGGGCCCAATGTGGCAAGCCGAGACCCTTCCCCGCATGACTTTCACAGAGAAAGTAAGAAAAAGAATATATACTAAGGCTAACTAAAATGGCTACAGGCTGCCCTCCCTCATTGAAAAGAAACCCCTGCAATGACATAAAATACACAAAGATTGAAATTAGGTTAAACACAATCATGCAATGCACATTTTAACCTCCTCTGCCACCCACAAAATTTGGTTTTGGCTTAAGTGGATATTTTTCATGGAATTTCCCCACCAATCTATCAGCATTTACTTTCCAGCTATTAACCCAAGTTGCTTGTGAAATTGGATAGCCTTTCCAATAAATTAAATATTGTAACTTCCCCCTGAAAATCCTAGAATCCAAAATTTTCTTAACTTCATAATGTTCATGCCCTGCAATGAACAAAGGCTTTGGGGGTGCATGTTCTGTTGGCCTCGAGGAAGAATCAACAACCGGCTTTAATAAACTACTGTGAAACACCGGATGTACCTTCCCCAATAACCTAGGGAGATTAAGTTTCACAGTTACTGGGTTTATTACTTTAATTATCTGAAAAGGCCCTATAAATTTTGGAGTTAATTTTCTAGAAGGTAAATGTAACTTTAAATGTTTAGTTGACAAATAAACTTTATCCCCCACTTTAAATTGTGGCTGCTGGGAACGGTGTTTGTCAGCTTGTATTTTTTGGATCTGTGCTGCCTTTTTCAAAGCCTTTTTTGTGTTTTCTCAAGAGTCTTTAATTGCATCCATCCGCTCAGTTACTGACAATTCAGGCATGGGAACAAACTCCATCCCAGTATTGATTTGGAAAGGTGTTAACCCAGTACTACTATGTACATCATTATTATAAGCAACCTCTGCAAACGGCAGCAAATCAGCCCAGTTGGTTTGTTGATAATTTACATAACATCTCAAATATTGTCCAATAATTTGGTTAGTTTTTTCAAACAGACCATTGGTCTGTGCATGGAGAGCTGAACTCAGACTTTGAGAGGATTGCTTGTATGAATTCCCTCCAGAATTTTGCAGTAAACTGAACCACTCTATCTGAAATGATTCTGCAAGGCACTCCATGTAATCTATATCTATGATTCACAAACATTTTGGATAATTTCCTGGCTGATGGTAGAGCTTTGCATGGAATAAAATGAGCTTGTTTGGAAAACAAATCCACTACAGTCCAAATTACTGTGTGCCTCCCACTGTCAAGTAAATCTACTATAAAATCCATCCCTATCTCCTCCCAAGGCTGGGATGGTGGCACAATTCTTTACATAATCCTCAATGTCTTTCTTCATTCTTGGCCACCAAAACTGGCATTTGACCATGTGTAGAGTTTTTAAATGTCCAAAATATCCTGCTTGTTTTGACTCATGACTTTTTGAAGTGCATGAAGATGTGAAGTTTTTGGGACATATAGTTTAGAGCCCTTCCATGCTACACCCTCCCGCACAGTTAATGACTCCTTATTTTCTTGATACCAAGTATCTGTTGTTAATTCGTTTTGCAACTTCTTAGCGATTTCAGATTTGTCTTTGATTTTTTTGGTTTGGGCTTGTGCCCCTGTGATTACTTGAACTGTTTCCTGAGAAGATGGTGGAGTGATTGGGTGAAATACTTCTTGCTTACTATCAAATTGGGGTTTTCTAGATAGCGTGTCTGCTAATATATTCCCCCCACCCCGGGAGGTACTTCAATTGGAAATCGAACCTTTTGAAGTATTGAACTCATCTAATTTGTTTAGGAGACAGTTTCCTAGGTGTTTTTAGACCTTCTAAGTTTTTATGGTCTGTCCATACTTCGAAAGGAATGTTACTGCCCTCTAAAAATTGTCTCCAAGTTTGTAAAGCCCAACGGACTGCATAAGCTTCTTTTTCGCATACAGCCCACCTTCTTTCAGTGTCTGTGAGTTTTTTGGATGTATATGCATAGGGTTGTAGATCTCCATTGTCATTCTTCTGGAGAAGAACTGCTGCCACTGCTACATCACTAGCGTTGGCTTGCAGTATAAAAGGCAATGCCGGGTCAGGGTGTTTTAGAATGGGTTCCTGTATGAAATGCCTTTTTATCAATTCAAAAGCTTTTTGGCATTCTAGAGTCCATTTTAAGGGTTGTCCAGGTTTTGTCTTGGTTGCCCCCCCGCTTCCGGTTTTCAATAGTTCAATTATTGGTAATGCAATCTCTGCAAATGAGGGGATAAATTGCCGGTAGAAGTTAATAAATCCCAAGAAGCTTTGCAGCTCTTTGTGATTTTGGGGGGGGTTGCCAATCCAGGACAGCTTTCACTTTAGCTGAATCCATTTCTATCCCCTGATTTGAAATGTGATAGCCAAGATAATGCAATGATTCTTTATGGAATTCGCATTTGAATAACTTTACATACAGCTTTGCATCTAAAAGTCTTTTTAATACTTTTCTCACTAACTTGATGTCTTCTTCTAGAGTTTCATTGTAAATAAGAATGTCACCCAAGTAGACCAGAACCCCTTTATACAAATATTGATGTAAAACTTCATTCTTGAGCTGCATGAAGACCCTTGGGGCTCCTTGTAGTCCAAATGGCATTGCTCTGAACTGAAAACTGCCCAAGGGGTGTTGAAAGCAGTCTTCCATTCATCTCCTTCTCTGATGTGGATTCTATAATACACTTTGTGGAGATCTAATTTGGTAAACACTTTGCCTTTTGCTAAGTGTCCTAACATGTCTTTCATGAGCAGTAGGGGGTATGTGTTGTAAATACTCTGGGCATTCAGGCACTTTAAGTCAACCCAGAAGCAAACCTCCCCCCACCAATCTTTTTTTCTTTAAAGAGTATGGGAGCAAAGGTTTGACTGCATACTGCCATTTGGTATTGCCATTCAGCCAGCTGATTGTGGTCTCCCATAGGTCCCATGGGTCCTGTTGCAGCTCTCCACTCTAAGATTGTGGCTCAAGACTCCCTGGGCCATTAACAGCTGATCGATGAGTGGGTCAGAAAGGGTTGCTTGGCCAAGCAGGTCTCTTTCCATCTGCTGGATACTCTTGCTTCCAGACCACTCACTTGGAGATTTCGGGCAGGCCCCTAGCTGGCGTGCAATATCCTCCATGATGGCCATTACTTTGATGGTCTCCTGGGGAATTCTTTGGGAGGCTTGCTGCTCAACTGGCAACTTAATACAACAGCCCCTGCAGAGTTTGCACTCATGTTCCAGTGCCCCTGGATCCTGTCCTTCTGCCATCTTCCCTGAGTCTTTACTGTTATCCAAAACTCCAGGTAAGCAGCCGGGGCTCAGGACCCTGAATAATAACCCTACTCCAGTGTGGCGTTCGGAAAAGACTGAGCTGAAGTCTTCACTCCAGTCTGTGTTTCCAGCGGGAACACAGACCCTTCCTATTGGCTGATGCCGTTTGACAGCCGGCTATAAAAGGGAGCTGTTAAACGGCATCAGCTGCTGTCCTCTAGCTGGCTGCCTTGTTAGCGTGGCAGCCACGGCAACCCTTTAGTGTTTCAATAAAGTAAAAGCTGAAGTTCGCTCCATGTTCGCCTCAGGTTATTCCGCCGCTCTACAACACTGGCAAAGAGGACAAGATACATATAAGAGGCAACTGAGCAAAGAATCGCTGAGCGAAGTCACTACAAAAAGAGCCAAAGTCACTACCGAGCTTTATGTCACTTTAAGAGCTTACTGTCACTATTCGCGAGAGCGAATTTCAACTTTCCTTGGAAGATCCCGCACCGCTGAGTCAAGATGACTTCGAACCCTGCATTCCCACCTTTCAGACCGACAGCAGAAACATGGGAATCCTACAGAAACCGATTTGACTGTTTCCTAGATGCCATAGACCTCGCTGATATTTCCAACCATAGGAAAAAGTCCTACTTTTTAAGTTTTTGCGGAGTCACAGTGTTTGACACTGCTGTGGCATTATTGGCTCCACGTTCAATTAAGACTGTTCCATGGGAAGAATTGCAGGAAATTCTTTCCAACCACTATTCCCCTAAGCCATCCTGAATTGCCAGGCGTCATGCTTTAAGGAGACCGATTCAGGCTGAGGGAGAGACTATTAGTGGGTACATGGCTGCCCTACGAACAGCTGCCTTGCACTGTGGGTTTAGAGATTATCTGGAGGACATGTTATAAGACCAACTAGTTTGTGGAGTCATTGATTTAAGGCTACAAAGGCGCCTATTGGATAAAGGGGATTTAACCCTTAAATTAGCAATTGAAGAGTCTCAACCTGCTGAACTATCAGCACTTTCAGCAGCAGAAATTCAGGGAAATCCAATTAGCCAGAGCAGCTTAGCCATCCATTATGATGAAGCCTCCACAGAAAAAGGCTATGAAGAGGCTAATGATGTAAATCACCCCAGGCAGCAAAAAAACCAGTGAAAGGGAGAACAGGCCAACCCCCAATCAACCTCCACGGTCTCAGCTCATTTGTCTAAGCTGTGGGGGAAACCACCTCAGGGCATCCTGTAAGTTTAGGAATGCCATTTGTCTAAAATGCCAGAGGAAGGGTAATTTAGACAGGATCTGTCAAGCAGGAAAGACTTTTGCCCAAAAGCCTCAGACAACCCAACATTTCCAAAAACAAGTTGAAGACTGTTTTACCTGCTATCAAGCCAAGTTGACTAACAAAGGCTCTAACAAAATCAGTGTTTTTGTTTCTATAGAAGGGAAACCTTGCAGGATGGAAGTAGACACTGGCTCAGCACTGTCCATCATCTCATGGAGCACCTTGAAACAATCGCTTCCCAGAATGACTAAGAAGAGGCTTTCAAGGCTGCAACTTAGCCCTACGTGACTACCAAGGCAGAACCATCCCAGTCATTGGAAAAGGCAAGCTTTTGTTCAATTTCAAAATGTTAAAGGTCACTTGCCTTTAGTTGTAGTGGATGGTGCCCTCCCAAGCCTGTTGGGGTTAAACTGGTTCCCTGCCCTTGGCCTCCATATAAGCGGAATCCACTCTATTGCAAATGCTGAAGTGGACACCTTGTTTAATGACTATGCTGATGTGATCAGCGAGGGGCTGGGCTGTTATTCAAGAACCCCAATGTCTTTCAACTTGGACCCTCTGGCAGTCCCAATCCGTTTAAAGCCTCGAAGGGTACCTTTTGCAATCCACCCCAAACTGGACATGGAACTAGACAAGTTAATTAAACAGAGTATATTAGAGCCTGTGGACTTCGCAAAATGGGAAACCCCAATAATGACACCCCTGAAGAAAGACGGTAGCATAAGAATCTGTGCAGATTACAAGACGTCATTGAATAAATATTTAGCACTTATCCAGTCCCAATTATCCAGCACCTACTACATTCTTTTGAGCCAGGAACCATTTTCACAAAATTAGACATGTCACAGGCCTATCAACAGTTCCCTATTGATGACACAGCCGTTGAACCACAAACTATTGTAACGCACAGGGGCGCTTTTAAATGGAGGCGCCTCCAATTTGGTGTAAGTGTGGCCCCAGGGATTTTCCAATGTTTAATGGAAAGACTACTTCAAGGATTACCAGGTGTAATTCCATATTTTGACAACATTTTAATATCAGCCCCTGACAAGTCTCAATTACTGCAAGAGTCAGAGGAGTCCTCGATCATTTCAGGAAGCATGGTCTTAAGTTAAAGAAAGAGAAGTGCACTATTGCCACCCCACAAGTAGAATTTTGGGGTTACAGAATTGACACCTCTGGTATTCACCCAATCGAATCCAAAGTAAGGGCTATTCACGAGGCACCCACACCAACTAACAAAACTGAGCTCCAGGCCTTTTTAGGACTTCTTAACTTTTACGCTTCATTTTTGCCACATAAAGCTTCTGTTGCAGAGCCTCTGCACAGACTCTTGGATAAGCAATCCCCCTGGCACGGGGGACCTAAGGAAGCCCATGCTTTCCATGCAGTCAAATCATTGCTTACATCCGATGCTGTTCTGATCCAATTTAATGAGCATTTACCTTTAGTTTAGTAGCAGATGCTTCTCCTTTTGGCATAAGTGCCGTTTTAAGTCATAGACTGCCTAATGGTTCTGAGGCACCTATTGCCTTTTTCTCCAGAACTTTTTCCCCAGCTGAGCACAACTACAGCCAAATTGACAAGGAGGCTTTGGCTGCAGTTGCTTCTGTCAAAAAATTCCATGAGTTTCTATATGGACACTATTTCGAGTTGGTTACGGATCACAAGCCTCTGTCAGGAGAAAGACAAACTCCTCAGATTTTGTCTCCAAGGATGACCAGGTGGACTTTATTACTGGCTGCCTATTCCTACACATTGGTTCATCGAGCTGGCAAGAGTCTCTGCCACACTGATGCTCTTAGTCGCTGCCCCCTGCCTGTTCCTATGAAGGATCCTGCACCAACTAACGCTGTGTTCCCGATCAATGAACTCAAACTTCCCATCACCACCCTTAGTATCGCTGCCCACTCTACCAGGGACAAGGTAATCGCCCAAGTCCTTGACTGGGTGGGAAGGGGGTGGCCTGCAATTCCTTATGCCCCCGAATTCATGCCTTTCAAAACTCGCCAGCAAGAACTGTCTTCTTAGCAAGGTTGTTTACTTTGGGGAACTAGGGTAGTTATCTCTTCCAAGTTGCAAGCTTCAGTTTTAAAGGTCCTGCATGAAGGGCATCCCAGCATTGTCAGAATGAAAGTCCTAGCTCGCAGTTATGTAGGGTGGCCAGGCATGGATGCTCAGATTACAAGTTAGGTGAATGCTTGTCAGCCATGCCAAGTTACCAGACCTGCTCCACTCACATCCACTCCAGGCAGGTGGGAAGATTCTGGGACCCCTTGGTCCCGGGTGCATATTGATCTGGCTGGCCCCATTCATGGGCGTACATTTTTGGTGATGGTTGATTCTTTTTCTAAATGGGTAGAGCTGACCTTGAAGACCACCACAACTTCAGAAGCCATCACTAATGCTCTATCAAGGATGTTCACTACCCCTGGCCTCCCTGACACCATCATGTCTGATAACGGGCCCCAGTTTACTTCCTGTGAGTTTGAGGTCTTTCTAGCTAACCTGGGAATCAGGCATGCACTTACAGCTCCTTTCCATCCTGCCAGTAATGGCCTGGCTGAAAGAGCAATCAGATCTGCTATAGAGGTCCTGGAAAGGCTTGGGCCCATAGATTGGCACTCTAGGCTTGCTAAGTATCTTCTAACCTAGCACATGACTCCCTGTGCCACCACTAATAGGTCCCCAGCTGAACTTCTCATGGGTAGAAATCTGAGGACTACTTTAGACAGACTCCATCCATATTATGCCCCAGTCACGCCCCTAGGATCAAATAGCCAGGCAAGGGAGTTCACTGAAAATGACCAGGTTTATGCCCGGAATTATGCTGGACACCCTTCATGGATGCCTGGGCAGATTGTGGTGGTAACCAGTCCTAAGTCTTACAGGGTCCAACTGCAAGATGGGCACATCTGGCGCCGCCATATTGATCAACTTAGAAGGCATTGGAGTTCATTTGCAGATGGCCCTCAAGACGTTCCTGCGACAGAGAAACTGCCGGCACCTGAAGAAACTTCTCGTGAATCTGACAGGAACGCAAGCCTACCTGAGCAGCCATCTGTCCCTCACCCAGAGAGGCCTGAAGCTGAGAGTCCAGTTTCGTCAGCACCAGAAGTTGCCCAACAAGCAGAAAAGTTCCTTCCGGCAGCAGCTCCGTCAGAACCTAGAAGATCTGGCTGCCTGCGCAAGCGCCCGAGTTATCTGAAGGACCACACATGCTCCGTTCTGAGGGAAAGGAGTGTGGCATTCGGAAAAGACTGAGCTGATGTCTTCACTCCGGCCCGTGTTTCCAGCGGGAACATGGACCGTTCCTATTGGCTGATGCCATTTGACAGCCGGCTATAAAAGGGAGCTGTCAAATGGCATCAGCTGTTGTCCACCAGCTGGCTGCCTTGTTAGCGCGGCAGCCGCAGCAACCCTTTATTGTTTCAATAAAGTAAAAGCTGAAGTTCATTCCGTGTTCGCCTCAGGTTATTCCGTCGCTCTACAACATCCGGGATTATGGTTTTTGTCAGATCCGGAATAATGTCAGGATTCCAAGTGATGAAATCCATTTAAAAAGAAAAGTACAAAGTCCATCTTCAAAAAAGATTTCTTTTATTTAGGAAATGAAAGAAATTGCCATCAAATTGGAAAAGTCTATGGTAATTCCGGATCTGACCCAACCCAGAATTACTCCACAATATTACAAGTTAGAAACAACCCCCAAAAGTCACATTCTCCAATAGAAGTAATTCATCGTTGCTTGATGTCATAAATCTCCACCTCCAGGGCCCAAGCAAGGACAGCTTGTTTCCCATGGGAAGAAAGATCACCCATCCAAAACACTCTCTTTATCTCCACTCCTCCCCCCTTAGGAATGTGGCAAGCCCAAAACCCTTCCCCCCATGACTGCCACAGAGAAAGTAAGAAAAAGAATATATACTAAGACTAACTAAAATGGCTACACTTATGTCAATTTTGGGATTGACAATGTTACAACGTCTTACCAGTTAATGAATATTTCAGCTTTAACAACAACATCACAAGAGCACACAAAAGATATAAACTAAATGTAAACCACTGCAAATTCTATTTCAGGAAGTATGATTTCAGCAACAGAGTGGTCAATGTCTGGAACTCACTACCTGATTCTGTTGTCACCTGCTCAAACCCCCATTCTTTTACCCCCAAACTAATCTCTATTGACATCACCCCATTCCTAAGAGTTCCTCTTTCTTGTACTTAAACTTATGTTTATTCTTGTTTCTGTTATATTGTAAGCTTTTGACAATAAATAAACAAATAAGTTCTATAGAGGTTAGCATGAGGAATGTTGTTTTGCTTCAACTAATTATAATCATGGGATATTGTCTCAATAGAATCAAAGCAACAAAATGTTGTTCTTGCATGGAGTTATAAGTTTCTATATACTTATTAATTTAAATGTTTCCATAAAATCTATTCTTTACCCTGTGGGACAAAATATTTCTAAAAATCTAATAAGTCTTATTTTCTATTTTGAGGTACTCCTCCTTCAAGTGAACTATAATGCTATTAAAGAACTAAGCACATACTCTATTGATATCAGCATTTTGATACATCTTGTTTTTCTTTGTAATTGTACCAACATTTCAGAAAAATACTACTTTGATTCTTAATGGAGACAGTGTTAATAAGAATTACTTGTTTTACCTTTCATGTGTTCCCCCCCCCCCCCCCCCAAACCTTACACTCCAAACAAAATTCTTTGGGCAACTTTGAACAAATGAAAACTAAGATAGAACATAACATTAATGTGATTTTCTATTATTCAAAATAACATAAGATAGATGTTATATCGGTAGATCGGTCCCAAGAAGAGACGCAAGGCAAGTGACTTTTAAAAGCTCTTTTTATTGTAAGGTAGATCTGCTTGCCGGCTTGGAGCAGTGGTGGCTTATGTTGATCTTGCCCAGGGTACTGAAGCCAATGACAGTCGTTCGAATCACCCGCGATTGGCTCAGCCAATCGCGGTTGCTTCGTAACGGCCAATCAGTGCTGCACACTCGACCAATCCGAGTGCTCTGCGTTTTAGCCAATCAGAACACAGGGTTACAAGAATGCAAATACAGAACAATAGAACAGTCAGATAAAACAAACAACATAACTAAATTGTGCTTATGAATCTGTTCAGTTGATTTGAAGTACAGGCTACATTATTTGTCTTCTTAATTCCTGATTATTCTGGTTCAGTGTGGTACCTCAAGGTTCTGTCTTGGGCTCAGGATTCTCCAACATCTTCATAAATGATGGAGGGATGAGGGGATTGAAGGAACACACACCAAATTTGCAGATGACAGCATGTGAGGGAGAATTTCTAACACTTTGGAAGGTAAACTCAAGATTCAGAAGGATCATGGCAGACATGAGGAATGGGCCCTATCCAACAAGATGCAGTTTAGTGGTGGAAATAGTAAGGTCCTGCAATTAGACAAGAAAAACCAAATGCACAGGCATAGAATAGGCAGTATCTGGCTCAATATAGTGCCTATGAGAGGGATATAGGACTCCTGGTGGACCACCTCTTAAATATGAGTCAGCAGTGTGCTGCAGCTACCAAAAAAGCCCATGCAGTCCTAGGCTGCATCAACAGAAGGGCAGCATCAAGATCATGGGAAGTGATAGTACCACTCTATACTGCACTAAAGAGGCCATACTGGGAATACTGCATCCAGTTCTGTCATCATGACACAAAAAAGATACTCGGGCCTTAGAAAGAATGCAAAGAAAAGAAACAAAGGGGATAAAGAGTTTGGAGGATAAATCATACGATTTATATTCAAGGCAAATACAACAGGCAAAAGCAATGTTTTGATGTGATGCCACAATCCTCTATGTTTGATATCAGTATCTTGAACTTTTTAGCTTTCACCAATTTGGTACCTCAAGGTGGCTTTGACTGTTACACCATTATCTTCAATCCATTATTCCAGGAAGGATAACTCATACATTGAATAACCCTGCAGATACAAATTGTTGGTGTATATGCTTGTAAAGTTTGCTCTCTGCTCTCTTTGGTGAAGAATCTCTGAAGATGAACCATCCAAATCCCCAAAGGCAGTTCACATCTTCTGATGTAAAATCATGTCATATCTCCAGAGACAGGAAGAAAGTGACAACTTTTATTTGAAGTGTTAAATTACTATAGTAAACTGATCTTTTCCCAGATGATATCAGTAGATAACAGTTAGTAGACCGAATCTATACAAAAACCAATCATTGTCAAGACATATTATATCATGCTGGAAGGACTTTCTGAAAGGTAGTAATGTATGCTGAAATTTTTTGAAAAATAATAATCATATGAATCCGATAGGAGTAATGAAGCGGATATTAAGAGCATTTCTTTTTTGGTGTTTACTTTTTTCAACATTTGTGGTATGTTCACAGGTTATCATTACGAATTTTCAGAGTTGTGATTTGTTTAGATAACTCTTGAATCTCAGAATATATTATATATATATATAATATATAGCAAGAAAACTGTTAATATTAAAGATAAAAAAATTGTAAAATGATTTTTGTGTTCCATCT